AGCAGGAAAGCTGACGTTTCGGGTCGGGACCCTTCTTCAGAAACGGGGGAGGGGGAACCTCACTAACCTCCGGATTCAACATATCATTCTCCACCACTTCTGCCACCTGCAATCTGACCCCACAACCAAGGATATATTTCCCTCCACAACCTTATCTGCCTTCTGTAGGGACCGCTCTCTACACGGCTCCCTCGTCCGCTCCATACTCTCCACCAGCCCCACCATCCTCGGCACCTTTCCCTGCAACCGCAGGAAGTGCTACACCTGCCCCTACACCTTCCCCCTCACCTCCATCCAAGGACCCAAAAAAAACCTTCCACATCAGACAGAGATTCATCTGCACATCCGCTAATGTGGTCTACTGCATCCGCTGCTCCCATTTAAGACAGATGTGACAGAATTTATTTTCTTAGTGGTAGTGAATCTGTGGAATCCTTTACTGCAGAGGGCTGTTGAGGTTGGGTTAAGTATATTCAAGGTTGACATAGATTATTAATTGGTAAGGACACTACGGCTTATGGGGAAGAGATAGGAAAGTAGAGTTGAGGATTATCAGATCAACCATATTCTGATTGATTGGCAGAGCAGTCTCTGTAGGCCTACATCTGTTTTTATGTATATTGCAGATACAATAAGTAAATGAATATATTTGCATCCTGACTCTGTTAAATTTACTGATAGCCAGGAACATTCTTGGTACTGCTGCTGCTTCACGAAAATTAAAGTACAGTGAAATTTATCCACATTATTGAAACGAACTGACTCAGCATTGCAAGTGCAAATTTAACTCTTTTTGTAATGCAGCCACAGACAAATGCTCCTGATGCTGGTGTTTAATTATCATTCAAAACATAACCTGATATAAATGATGATTAGAAGTCTGAACTGTCCAGTAACCAAGCCATTAACTATGTTAATAATGGCAGGTCATTTAAACAACACAGAATAGCAAAATGTGGGAAATGGTTTATGACTTAAATTATTACTCCCAAGAGTTGCTGCACTGTAGTTGTTTTGAGTTCACCAGAATATGTAATAGGATATAATCTTCAAATTTTTGGAGGCATTCTACAAGACATCATGGTAAGTTTACTCATGTGGTCAAGTAAATCTGAAGGTACACACTATAGTCTTACATGCTATAGATGAGACAATTATCTCTTGCAGTTACTTCTGAGACACTTTTCCATCAGTATTTTAAGAAACTGTCCAACATATTCAATTCTTTCATAATCTTCACGACTTGCGTGAATGAGTAAATTTTGACATTACAGAGAACATAATGTTTCTGACAGTTCTTAATATGAAACAAGATACATTATACTAATTTTCATATGACTCGAATCTCTTTCTGTCACACACATGCCAGGCAATGACCATCTCCACTAAAAGACAGGCAATCTAACAAATGACCTTTGACATTCACTGGCAGTAACGCTGAATATCGACATCCTAGGACATTACCACTGACCAGAAACAGAACTGGACAAGCCAAATAAATGCGTTGACTACAATAGCAGATCAGAGGCTAGGAATCCTGCAGCGAGTAACTTGCGTCCTGGCGTGCCAAAGCCTGTTAACCATCTACAGGCAGAGGTGTGACGGAATTTTTCTTACTTGTCTGGATAAGTGCGACTCCAACAACATGGAAGAAGCAATATGTCTAGGCTTTGCCAATGATGAACACATCCCATGAAATAAATGCATCATAACTGTGCATGACAATCTGGATGAAGCAATATTTTCATGTGTACACCTGGTCTTAGGGTTCTTTCAGCTGCATAACCTGTTTTCATCACAGAGTATATTAGGAACACATGAACTTATGTAAATCATTTGACCCATTGAGCGTGTTCCTCTATTCAATTAGATAGTGGCTGATCATTTACTTATAAACCATTTCCTGCACTATCCCCATTTCCCTTGATAACTTTCATACCTAGAAATCTATCAACTTTATAGGGTAGAAAATTCCAAAGATTCAGTAAGAAGATGGTGAATAAATGCTTCCTTGTCTCAGCCCTAAATGACCTACCTCTTATTCTAAGACTCAGTCTCCTGGTTCTCGATCCCCCAGCCTGCTGTATACATCCTGTCAAGCTCTATGAAGAGGCAACTAATAAACTATACAAAATGAAAATATACTTTTTGTGTAGTTAGTATCAGAGAATTATAATTCCTCCTGATGCCTTTAAGGGGCATTCCAACACAGTTCTCCATTTCAAGGTGCTGATCCTGTGTGATGTCCTGTTGAACATTTTTCTTTCTTGGTTAGTTATGATCTGACCATTGGGTAACTATTTAGCATTTCAACATCTTCATGAAGATGAATTTTGAAGTTTGTTTTCATAGTTTCATTCTTTTCTGGGATGAGGATTCTAATATAGGTGTAATGTTCTCAATGCATAATGGACAAATTTTTCATGATCCATCTACATCTTGCTCTACCATGCTGGCTTCATCTGTTCACTTCTCCCCCCATACCTAGCCTTGGGACCTGTGAAAGCTGAGGCCTAGCTTGGTACTTGTATACACATCACATGAATGTGGAATTGGGCCCCTGCCACCTTGCTTGATAAATGACCCAAATAGTGACATTATTCCCTGATCTGACACCATCACCTCATGTGCAAACATGCTCTTTAGCGTACCTTCTTTCCGTTCATTCTTTTGAGGCCTGCAGTGTTTAGTATGGTTCTGACAAGTAACTGATGACAGTCCAAAACGTTTTGCTGCACACAGGACAGAATACTATAAGTGATTGAGTTTTGGACAAGTTATAGGATCGAGCTTTCCTCTCCTTAACTTTACTCTCTGCTTCTGATAGATGTTTGCTTTTGAAGAAGGTGACAACTTGGCACTTGGCAAAGCCAAATACTACAATTCAAGGACAGCTGCTCCCCGAACATGAAGATGATTTTTAAAATTGCCTTTGGAGTTTGCCTTTTTTTTGACTGCCATGAGAGAAGTGCAATATGGAATAGCCAGCTTGGGTGTCAGCCATTCTGGCAACATGACTAGCCTACAGCTTTTAAAACATTTAACAGTGATTTATTGAACTCAGAAGGTTTACCTGTGTGCAGGGATTGATTTAACCATTTTTTCATCTAATTTGGCACCAGTGCAGAAGGGAGGCACCATGTTGTCATCGCTGCTTTTTGGTTCAGCCCCATGTATGGCAAAAACCTGTTACTACTGGACTATACTACTTTAAGGAACAATCTAAAGTGACTAAAGCCCAATAATGGCATAGCAACAATAAAAAATGAAGTGAATCAGAAGCAGAAAATTTGATAAAATGAAATAAAAGCAAGTGAAAGAAATAGATTAATACTGTAATCATCTTCTGAAAAATGCCAAAAGTCTTCCAACAATAAGTACAAGACAAACAATTATGGATTGGATTGCCAATCATACCTTTGCTGAAATCCAGCTATTGAAGCAATTTCATTTTACAGGACAAATGATTAAATAATCCTGAGAAAATATCTCCAAGAATCTTGTTTGCCATTGGTAAGGAAGGCTTTTTGGAACACCAAAAAGATTCAAAATGTTCTGGAGGGCACTCAAAGACCATCTCAAGGAGTCATACAGCATGAAAACAGACCGTTTGGTCCAACCAGTCCATGTGAACCATAATTCCCAAACGCCTTTGCTAAGCCCATATCCCTCCAAACCTTTCTGATTCATGAACCTACCAAATCTCTTAAATGTTGTAGCTGTACCTACATCCATCACTTTCTCTGGAAGCTCATTCCACACACTAACCACTGTGTTTAAAAAAAAAGTTGCTCCTCATGTCCTTTTTAAAACTTTCTCCCCTCGGCTAAATAATATGCCCCCTTGTCTTGAAATCCCCCACCATAGGGAAAAGACACCTACCATTTTCCTTATCTATACCCCCATTCCTTCATAATGTCATGCCTAAACCTCCTACGGTCTAGATAAAAAAAAATCCCAGCCTATCCAGCCTCTCCCTATAACTCAAAACTTCCTGGTAAATCTTCTCTGAATGTTCTCCAGCTCAATATCCTGGCAACAACATGGTAAATCTTTTCTGAACCCTCTCCAGCTTAATATCCTTCCTATAAAAGGGTGACCAGAACTGGACACAGTACTCCAGAAGAATCAGTTAGCTTTGTGATTAACAAAACTCCAACTTATGTCATAGTGCTAGAAACCCTGCGAGTATTCATTAGTTTGTCATAAGATTCCACAGAGTGCACTGGTTCTATTACCTAGTGACAATCTCCTGCCTTTTCCCCGTAACCCTGCACACCATTTCCACCCAAATAATCATTCAACGCCCTCTTGAATGCCTCAAGTGAACCTGCCTTTACCACATTTCCAGGCAGCACATTACATGTCCTAATTACTTTGTGTGGCAATGTATGGTTGTGATTATTTTTTTAAACCTGCATTGTAAGGCCTGTCAATCAAAGCAGTCCAATTGCTGGCTTTGCTTAACTCTGACAGCTTAATACTGTTGATTTTTCCCTCCAAATTTAAAGAATGTGGGATCTAAAACAAAAATTTCAGCTCATGACACTTTTTAAACAGACCTTATCTGAACTTCAATGGTGTTTAACTTTCTTCAATTAGTGACTCTCACATCATATCATAGAATCATAGAATGCTACAGTGTGGAATCAGGCCATTCGACCTATTAAGTCCGCACTGACCCTCAGAGCATCCCAATCAGACCCACTCCCCTACCGTATCCCTGTAACCCTGCATTTCCCATGGTCAATTCTATGACTGTGACTGTAACATACATAAGCAGCAGGAGTTGGATTAAACGTTTGGTGAATTGTTCAATACCATGTTATACATATTTTTTTTCTTATGTCAGAGGAGCTAACATAAGCTTCACCACATCAGGTACAAGTACCCTGCTGGAGCCACAGCCCGTGCCATGTCAGCAGGTGAAATAAACTGCGGTGTGAGCTTCAGGACATAGATCCCGCCATGTCTCCCACAAATACAATGCACAAGGAACATTTAAAACAAAAGCTGCAAGTGTTTATTAATGTTCTACAAAATAAACCTTTGTAACAAAAAAAACATAGTTGCAATTTGAGACAGCGCTTCTCCAAAATTCAAATTGACAGTTTATCATTAGTAATGTTTTCTATAGAAATGGTATCTAAATTACAGACAACTGAACATAGGCCATACGTGACATCAAGGCCAAAATCCCTTCTTATTTAAATTTGTAATTATGTTGTTGTACTTGCCCATGGAAGATGTTTCCTGTCAACTTCAAGGATCAGCACAATCCATTGCTAATCACTTAATGGTCAGGATGTTGCTGTTGTTCAGTGGACTTTGAGAGGTAATTCATGTTAAAACATAAAACCCTGTTCATTGTTATTTCTTATTTGTGTAAACATGCTTAACAGAATGAAGTGTGTCAGTGTTACAAAATGGAAGATTTCCACTGTGTTCTGTGACTTGAAGATCTCCATACGTGATCTAGGTGAGGTGTAATGCAAATCTCTGACAGGGCCCAAATTCAAACTTCATAACCACTCTCAACACCATTACCAACTTTCATTCCTGCCTTCCCAACAACAGTTTGCTTTTATATTGCATCTTAAATACTGGAAAACACCCTCAGGACTTTGCACTATCAACTATTCATTCTGATCCTAGCTGAATGTGAAGTTTAAACCACTTGAAAATAATTCTAAGCAGTATTATTCTGATTTTCATTCCTTCCTGGTTCACATTTTTCCCCTTCTTTGGGTTAGTCCTTACATTTAGAACCACATCAGCAGTTGACCATATCTAACGGCAAGTTATGTTCATAGTGAGGAGTCTTAAACTTCCAACAGCGAAACACTGCACGTGGGGTAACTGTAATTGTATATGTCTAACTAACTAGGTGATCAAACAGGTAGCAAGCTCCTACCATTTACAACATTTGACTCAAGAATTTCTTTCCACTTTTAAGTATCATCTCTGTAACAAGAATTCAGAGAGAAGCATTACTCAACTCAAATGAATAATTTGGCCTGAGTAATCCATGTGCACAATGAGTAATAATTTATATTGCTGAGGACAGGTAATGTAAAAATTTTGTAAGCATATTATGAAATAATATAACCTTGTACAGCAACAAGGAAAACCATTCCGTTTTATTTTTTCTCCTTAATAGGATGGAGATTCAGCTAGAATAACAATTAATTCCACATCTAAACCTTTCTATACTGAATTTTATCAGTTGCTCAGATTTGTATTGAATGAGACAAAATTTTGGGAGATAATCTAATGATTATGCCGACATAAACGATATTAACAATGATCCATTTTCTCCAAAACCAGTTAGACAATGCAATTATAAAAAGACCTGCAAAGATTACCTAGAGAAATTTGCAAGGTCCTGCATTATTCAATTTATTATAGGCCAAAACTTTCTTGGGATATGCATAAAAGATGGGCCTTTCTTTTGCTTTAGTGTATCCCAGAAAACTGTACATGATACTCAATGTAAGATGGGATTTTAGCAATCTAATATAAATTTATTACTCACCACTGTTTTGGCACTGAATGTCAGTTTTTAGATATCAAAATGTATTATTTAATTATAGACTTCTTTCTCTTTTGCAAACTTACAAAACCAGGTTTGGAAATTTCCCTGGTCAAGCTTCCATTCCCAGTAGCATCTGGCAATTTTGTCTGTTATGTTGATGGCATCAAACCAGTGTAATTGTGAAGTGTATAGATGAAACAAGTGTAGGTGAAGCATTTGAAATCAAAACTTATTTTACAATGCTTGGAGGCAATTTATTTAGATGCGTCAGATGATTGCCACTATAAGGCAAGAGAAAAGCTAACGAATAGGAATGGGTGTGGGACCAGTGTAATCTCCAGTGCTGCTTAAATATTGTACACATAATTTTTAAATATTTTTGTTATCATAACCAAATTAAAGCAATTATTTTTGCATTGTGTTTGCTTAAGCATCTTTTCTTGGTGTTGCACGACAGGAGAATATTAATGTTCCCTGGTTCAAATGTGAGGTATTTTACTTCTTGCTACCTTCAAATGCGTTTCAGTTTTATTAAAAGAAGTCATGTTAACAATTTTAAAAGCATGTTTCACATTTCAAGTCTCTTGCTTCAGAGTTTATGCTTGATACCAGTCAAGCCCTCTTAAAGCAATCAAGCCCAATAAATGTTTGAAGTCTACACTACATTACATGTGATATGTTTTAGTCATTATTTTTTAAAGACCCCATGTAGTTTACATTCATGGGGAATTAACCAAACAAATAATTCAAGGAACAAGAATGAATAGAGAAGCATTACTCAATTTAAATTTTGTTCATCATTGTTCTCAGTACACTCTTCTTTGTTAGCAGTAAACTTGTTTCAATATTAACCTACTAACAAACCCTCTTTTTCATTAAAGAAAATTACCAACTAGATTGAAGTATCATCCACCCACTTATCTCACAAGCCCCTTGTCTCAGAGGTATCTGAAGTGTATCAATGACATAACTGTATATAGTTAGATTTCTATAATCAATACATATTGTGAACTTAGGTACTCTGTCATTGCATTGAAATTCATCAGCAGACTCCATATGTTACTCGTGTGTATAACTGATTTTCTTAATCTTTACGTGCATTATATCAGCTAAACTACTGTGTCCCTTTTGACAGAGCTGTATATTAAGGTTTCTATATTATCTACCAATGCAGAATTCTACAATATAAAGAAAAATAATACAAACAATTATGCAGAGTAATTCTTTAAGAAGGAACAACAGGGTTTTTTGGACAGAATTTACTCGTACCAGAATTACATTACCTGATGCCTGCAACTGTTATGAACCTTTATGCTGTTGAAATTTTGCAAATCACAATAATTTGGTTATGTATTCAACAGCAACTTTAATTGGCAAAACAGCAATAAATTCTAATTTTCTTGCCAATTACAAAAACTCATTTTAGATAACTGGATTAGTGAGAATCACAGACTGAGAGTTTTGATTTTCTTTTTTCCTCTTTTTCTTCTTATTGGGCGATGCTGGCTGCATTTCTTACACTACCACAGTAACTTTGTGGAGAATTGAATGGCCTTCTCAGAAGACCTTATCAATAATCCACAGAATATGGTCGTGGAGGATAGACTAAGTCAAGTTGGATAACTTCTCTACTTCAACAATGTTAGTAAACTGATTTCTTTTTTAAAAAGACAGTCTTGACAGGTTGCCATGATGCAATCTCAGCTGCTTGTCCAGTACCTTTAAACACTACAATGTGCTCAAAACAAGAGCATTTGTTTGATCTTGGTTGATGACTGGCAGATCATCATGACTAAATGGAGTAAACAAAAGTGTAAAATATGTAATACTTACTGAAATCTTCTACTTTCTGACCATGCACTTCATGTTGTTCCAACTTAGGTTAAAGCTATACAAGGAATGTATTAAGTTGCTTTTAGAAAGCGTAAACCTATAAATTAATGAGCTAATTAAATATTATTTATGAAAAAGCATCTTGCAGTGTAAAAAAAAAACCTGCACTAAGAATCTTACTTCTTGATTAGATAATTAGAAGGGGCCCAGCCCTCCCATATTGGTTCGCTATTTAGGATTTTACAATACCACCATCCATTGGCATTTTTTTCAAATACTTCAAATACAGTTCCTTCCTTAAATCCAGCGGTTTCCTCGTCTCCTGCAAAATCTGCAAGAGCTACATAAAGGCATTCTTTTGAAGATTCTTCATCTTTGGACAGGTTAATGTTGATTGATGTAGCATTATTCTTCTCTTTCCCCATTTCCAATATTTCTGCTTGTCTGTCCGTTGCCTTTGAAGGAAGGATCGATTCTCTTCCATGTTCATGAACTTTGGATGGAACAGATCCTTTCGTTGGGAGGAACTCCTTTGAAGCTCCCTTTGCCTTAATCTCATCTTTGCTTTGTTCATGAGATGAACCTGATTTAAATCTTGGTGGAGGGATGGAAGGTTTATTTTGTCCCCAGGTGGGTTTGTTCTCAGCTGTATCTTTTTGATTACCTTTAACGTCGGCAGATTCTATGGAGGTTTTCTTTGGCAGTGGGGGTCTTCTGGGTGGCACAACTGGTCGGGGTGGACCTTCTTTGTTTGCTACAGTTGGGCCTTTTGGTTGAGGGTCATTCCCTTTCTTCTCAATTGGCTTTAAACTCTTTGCTGCTTTCTCTTCAGTGATACTTGGATCATCCCTATCATTCTGTTCATTTTCAAGGCCATTTTGCTCTCTCTGCATAACTTTCACATCACTTACCTTAGAGCTAATTCCAAAATCTTGTTTCAATTGAAGCACATTTTCTACATTTCCAGGAGAACTGCTACATGTATCTAGTGAGGTTTGATTATTTGAGTAGTTTTGATTGCCAGCAATATTCTGAGAGGAGTCCTGCTCCACCATTTTGTCTGGCAATTTTGCTCTTCTCAACTTACTTCTGAGGTTGGAGATGTCAACTTCAGATTCAGATTGACTTTCTCCTTTCACGACAGGAAATGGCTTAGGCCTCAAAAGGGGTCTTGGCTTTAGTGGGAGATTTGGGGAAGAATCCACTGATTTTTCCTCTGTATCAGGCTTTGACTTTGCTTGTCTCCCCACAGGCTTTAGATTAGACCTTGCAATTTCACCTGCTAACATCTTGGGCCCAGATTCAAGTCCTTTTGAGTGTGAAATTTTACTTGCTTCAGCAGTCAGTTTCTTGTCTCCTTTAGATGACATTTTTGGTGGCAACAGGGGTAAAATACCACCTGGTACACTGGGCTTTGGTGGAAGTACTTTTGAATGCTTATCCACTGCTTCCACCTCAAACTTGCTGTTAATCTGTTCTTTCTTTAATGGGAGGACGGGCTTCTCTTTGTTAAATCTTGAAGTGTCATTATTAATAATATTTGAAGGAGAACATGACTTGGATTGAGATTCTACATTTGAGTGAGAGTTGAATTTATTGTCAGAAGATGGGATCTTACTTGCATCCCTTCCTCGTTGCTCTTTCAGTTTGTGTTGAACAGTGGCCTCATTGTCAACATCGTTTGATTGTGGCTCTTTGGGAAGAGGTCTAGCAACAAAGGCACTATCCCCATTACTACTGCTTCCTGTAGTTCCATCCAGTTGAAGTTTTGCCAGTTCTTGTGCTAATGGTGGGAGGAAATTTGCCCTTGAAGCATTACTTGATTTTTTGTACTTGTCGATGAAAGAGGCTGGAGCCCATCCTTCCTCATCATCTATCTGAATGTACCACCAACCACTTAAGTTCTTTTCTATTACCTAAAAGAGAACAAAAAGATATTCATTCTCATTTAGAGCATAATTTAACAACACAATAAACAGGCAGCACTAATGACATCCCTGCTCAGAAAAGTCTCGAGCAATTTGACTGAATCAAATGGAGACTAGCGTCTAAAAAACATTGGAGGATCACAAATCTATATAAAGAAGATCCTAACCTATGTGGGAATAAACCATTTGCTTTTATATCTTTTGTATGTAGTAATTTATCACTACTGGATCAAATTTTGTGTGCAAGTGTTTCAGATAAAGTATCACACTGTCCCAAGGACAAATTACAACCTTTACTGATGTCTATCTGGGTAGCAGTCAAGAAATGAATATTGCCCAGGCTTGATTATGATATGAATTTATGAGGGATAAAGTTCTGAGGGCTCACCAGTGATAGCTCACTGCTGCCTTCAGAGAAGGAAAATAAAATGTGTAGGAAATGTAAGCTTTAATTTTCTATTGCTTAACCAAAAAAAGTGAAAGATTTGATGAATATAGATTTTTTTTTACTGGGTTAATTGGCGTATTGCTCGTTGTGTTTACTGCTACAAGCAACTTTACATTGGATTTACTAAATTTGGTACTACCTCCAAACAAATTGTTGAAAATATCTTAGCTGTAGATTTGGGCATCCGAAGGATTTCAGCTTATGAAGAAAACTATTTTGAAGTAGAATCCGTAGTCTGAATTCTGTCTTTATTAGTTTTCTATTATCTGTGCATTTACGGTTTTCAAAATTTGCTGTCACCTATCAACTATTCAATATGTGCCATAATTAGAGGGGACAGTAGCAAAACTTCTGTTCAAGGCCACCAACAATCCAGGACCTGATGGCTTGCATTCTAGGGATTTAAAAGGACGCTGCAGAGATAATGGATATGCTGCCTGTAATTTTAGAGAATTCCTAATTTCCTGATGATATGAAAATGAAAGACTTTGACAAATTTAGTTAAGATCTTTGAGGATGTAACCAGCAAGGGAAAAAGGGAACCAGTAGATGTCGTTTATTTGGATTTCTAAAAGGCATTCGATAAGGTATTGCACAAAGCAAAAATTGAGAGGTCAACATTTAGCAGGTAATATGTCAACATGGAAAAGAAGATGGATAAGTAATATAAAATAGTCAAGATAATTGGCAAACTGTAACTGGTAGTCTCAACTAGTTACAATCTCTATTAATGACTTATATGAAGGGACAGAGTGTAAAGTAGTCAAACTTGATGGCATACAAAGAATGTGGTGAGATAAGAGTTGCAAAGGGATATAGGTAAGTCAGTGAACAAAATTTGGAGATATAGCAAGAATAGAAAAACAAAACATTATTTCAATGAAGAGAGAATACTGAAAACTATGGTTAACAGAGAGATCTGGGTGTTTATGTGAATCACAAAAAAAAACTGGGTAGATTTTTTGTAAAAATAATTAAGACGGCAAATACTGTCCTTTGTTGCAAAGGAGTTAAGAGTATAACAGAAAGGATGTGTTGCTCCATCCATACACAACACTGATGAGACCATACCTGCAGTACTGTGTCAAGTTGTGGTCTCCTTATTTAAGGAGGGCTACATTTGGATTGAAGGTAGTTTAGGGAAGGTTTGCCAGGTTCCTTCTTGGGATGAAGGGTTGTCCTTTGTAGAAAGGCAGAGCAGGCTGGGTCTATACTGATTTGGAATTTAGAAGAATCAGTTATGAATTGAATAATGCTTATAAGTATCAAAAGGGGCTTATCAGGGACAGAAAAAGGGAGAGGCTGGAAGGATATTTCCCTCAGGAAATCTCAAACTGCGGGCAAAGTTTCAGAATAAGTGATCTCTCATTTAATATGGAAATTAGGAAATATTTCTTCTGGAGGTCATCAATCTTTGGGTTCTCTCCCCAAGACAGCAGGTAAAACTATTCAAAGATGTGTCAGACAATTTTTTATTCTTTCAGGAATTTAAAGAAGAAGCAGAAAAGATGTTTAAGACCATGTTCAAACCATCCACAATCTTATTCAATAACAGTAGGCTCAAGGAGCTGAATGGTCTACTCCTATCTCTCATTCATCCACATCAAGTATTTTTCTTTAAGAAGTGGAATATTTTCTATTTCAGACACTCAGAATGAGCAGTAGCTGACCCAGCACAGGTTATGCACAATTACATAGAGTGTAAAACTCCTTCAGCTCACCACTTCATTTCCCACACTATCCTTCACCTTCTATTAGAGGGAGAACTTCTTCAGGAATATTTCTGTTCAAATATCATAACTTCAGTGCCAACTTTGTAGTAGAGCAGAAGAGGTCCTCAGTAAATTTACCCCGTTTGTCAGTTAAAAAGTACCAAGCATTACAGCAAGACCCATTTGGAAAGGAGTTGAGATTGCCAAACTAGATTCCCAAAGGGCTCAGGAAAATTTCTGCCATCAGTCCATACAAGATTTGAATTTTGTGTCCTGAAGTTAAAAGTTCATTTCCCTGCAAAATATCTTTTAAACTATCATTAGAATGAGCTCACAATGGCATTCATGTAAATAATATTTATACAGCATTTTCATTTGCTTACCTCAACCTTTTGTCCTGCCTGAAAACTGATGCCATCAGGAATGGTTGTCTGGAAAGCAGCTATTGTGTAAAACTCTTCTTCTACTTCAGGAGGAGTTGGAGGTTTGGGGAGATTCAATCCACGTGGCTATTTATAAAATTAGAAAGAACTAAAATCATTGACTTAGTCCATGCAGATGCATTGCCCTTCATGTTTTCATATTCTCTATGTTTTATTTATAAATTAATAATTTCCCAGAAAAAGGATAGTTTGTTAGGGCACATCATAGAATCATGTGTCATAGAATCCCTACAGTGTGGAAGCAGGCCATTCGGCCATCGAGTCCACACCAACCCTCTGAAGAGCATCCCACCCAGACCCACCCCCTACCCTATCCCTGCATATCCCACCCAAGACACTAGGGGCAATTTAGCATGGCCAATCCACCTAGCCTGTGCATCTTTGAGCTGTGGGAGGAAACCGGAGCACCCGGACGAAACCCACGCAGACACGGGTAGAATGTGCAAACTCCACACAGTCGCCCGGGGCAGGAATTGAACCCGGGTCCCTGGTGCTGTGTGGCAGCAGTGCTAAGCACTGAGCCACCTTGCTGCCCCAATTAAGAAATTTTAATGAAGTTATTATTGATAAGTATACACATTATAAATCAACCTAAAGTATTTCAGAAAATGTAAATCCTTAAAAATGCAAATAGCTGACGAACAAATTAGTCATAAACTGTATGCACATAATTAGATTATTTTATTGAAGTTAGGGGTGGGGGGCGGGGGGGGGGGGGAGGGGAGGGTGTAAATGACTGTCTTCTTCCACCCCAGCCCCAACCCAAGAATGAAAAAGGAGTCAAACGTACTAATGTAGCAATGGTATAGCCTCTGCCTCCTCTCGGCAGGCATTGTATCCATTGTTTAATACATGGTGCATGTTAACAAGACATCCTGAGATGACACTCAAAACAGAGTTTTAGCATTCTGAAATGTTAAAAAATCTTACACCTGTTAAAGGACTCTTGTAAAAATGAGTCAGCACTGAAAGAAGCAGGGCTATACGTATCCCACAACAATTCAACAAAAATGATCATTTGAAAAAAAATCTTTCTGACTTCCTCAAGATTCAAGAGAAGCTGAGATTTTGCGAAAGGGAGAAACAGCAAGTGCAACATCTTCAAAATGATATTATAACATTGTGTAAAAAGGACCATGTGGTTAATTTAAACATTCAAGACCTACAAAAGAACATCAAGACATTGTCTACTTATGTCATAGGACAGAATGAGAATGTTGGCTACAGCCCACCATTGAGTTGCATAACGTCACTGCAGCAAGAGTACTGAGGTCACAAAAGGGATGCCCTTTACGTTTATTTTAAACAAGCAAATTTGAGTTTTGATATTTTTTTTAAAAAATCAATAATGGGGTATGGGCTTCACTGGCTAGGCCAAGGTTTAATTTCCAACCCTACTTGCCATTGAAAAGGTAGTAACAAACTTCCATCTTGATTTGCTGCAGTCCAGTTGCTATAGGTACAGCCACAATGCTGTTAGGGAGGGCATTCAAGCATTTTGCCCCATTGTCACTGAAGATTATAGTTCGAAGTCAGGGTGGTATGTGGCTTGGAGGGTAACTTGAAGGTGATTGTATTCCTATGTATCTACTGCCCTTGTCCATCTGTGTGGTTGAGGCCACAGGTTTGGAAGATCCTGTCAAAGGAGGCTGGTTAAGTGGTTACAATGCATCTTGTAGTTGGTACGCACTACTGCCACTCTGCATTGGGAAAAGGTAGCAAAAATTGAAGGAGTTAGATACAGTTCCAATCTGCTTTGTTCTGGATGATGATGAGCTTCTTGAGTGTTGCTGCAGCTGTACTCAACCAAGCAAGTGGAGGATATTCCACCACACTCTTTATTTGTGTGTTATAGGTGGTGGAGACGCTTTGTGTCAAGAGATGAGTTACTTGCCACAGAGTTCCCAGCCTCTGCTTTTATAGCCACAGTCTTCAAATGGTTGGTCCATTCAGTTTCTGATCAATTGTAACCAGGATTTTGATACTGGAGGATTCAATTATGGTAATTCTATTGAATGTCAAGGGGTGATGATCGCATTCTCTCTTGTTGGAGATGGGCCATTGCCTGATACTTGTGTGGTGTGAATGTTATTTGTCACTCATCACTCCAAGTCTGAAAATCATCCAGGTCTTGCTGCATTTGGACAGGGATTGCTTCAGTATCCGAGGAATCACCAACAGTGCTGAACATTGTGAAATCATCGTCAACAACATTCCCATGTCGCCCTTATAATAGAGGGAGGTCATTGACGAAGCAGCCGAAAATGGATGGGCCAAGAATACTACTCTGAGAAACTCCTGCAGTGATGACGTTAAGCTGAGATGATTGACTTTCAACAATTACAACCATCTTTCTGTGTGCTAGGCATGACTCCAAAACAGCAGAGTTTATCTCCAGATTTTTATTAACTCCCAGTTTTGATGGGCTTCTTGGTCAAATGCTGCTCTGATGCCAAGGATATTCACCATTACCACCTCCCAACTCGTGTTCAGCCTTTTTGTCCACATCTGAACTCAAATGAGGAGGGCTGCTGAACAGGCCTGGTGGAAGCCAAACTGAACATCTATGAGCAGGTTACTGGTGAGTAAGTGCCTCTTGATAGCACTGTTGATGACATCATCTTCTGCTCTGCTGATGATTTGAGTGTGTTTTGGGGGTGGTAATTGGCATGATTGGAATCATTCTTTCTTTCCTGAGCAGAATATACTTGGGGAACCTTCCATGTTGCTTGGTGGATGCCAGTATCAAAATTGTACTAGAGCAGTACAAAAGGGTCTCTCAGTACAGCTGTTAGAAAAGTCTGTGCATGGTTAAATCTTAGCAGTTCGAAAACTGGTATTATTGCAAGAATAGAAGGAACAATGGAAATTAAATAAAAACTCTTAAAGTTTTGATGGTTTTTGATAAGATGAATAAGTTGGGGTTCAGTCTTCTGGTTGGGAAGTCAGTGGCAGTGTTAATCAATTTAAAGCTTTCACTAATATAGTGAAGCGGACAATTTCCCCTCCTTCCACTGTTTCAGGTCAGGACAGAACATACACAAATCACAAAATCAGCTTGCCATATGGCTAAATCATATTTTATCCAGCAGTTAAACTTCTAAATTTGCCTTTGCACCCCCAATCCTGAAACCTTTTCAAACTTTTGTCCTGATATCCTATCATCTTTAACCTTTTCTAAATTCCAATTTGATCGAAGTTGTGCTGTTAATATTCTACCATACAAGACATTCCACCCATCCTTATTTCGACTTAATATTTTGGGCTAGAATTTATCAAATTTACTGGAATCAACAAACACTCATTAGACCTTCTCCTCTGTCTAATTTCCATTAGCCTTTTCATAGCAAGTCATCTGGAACCTCTATGAACAAGGCAAACAACTAAGTGAATCGTTAAAGAACCAGATTAAAGAACTGTTAATGAAGAGAGAAGAGTCTGCACCATAAAGTGTTATTTAGCGTAGTAAACTCAATGTCAGATCAGTTATAGAGCAAAATAGAGAAGGAAACAATGAATGGAGAAGAGAAAAAGAAATCAAAAGCAATGAATATGCACTTTAAAAATAAGCCAGTATTTCAAAGCTGAAGCAAAAGACTCCACTCTTTTTAACAATTAATTTTCTAAGTCTGAGAGGTTGGTAGCAGTAATTAGATTCTCACACACTCTGAAGGGCACTTACACAGAAATGTACAAGCTTCAACTTTCCGCAGCAGGTTCAGTTTGTGCTTACAGTGCCAGCCCAGTAACTTCAAGTCACTGTATTTGGTGAATCATACAGTAAAATAGTAATTTTGGGAAGCCGAAAGCTAAGCAGTGCAGCATTTGTCGTGTTTCACACTTAATCAGGTATCTGATTCTTGCCTGAAGTTGATAGTAATTTGTGAATAAATGACATGAGGACTGTGAACATCACTTTTATTTTGACAATAAGTTCCGGCCTAATGGCTTGCTCTCTCCGGATGTTTTAATTTTAAGTTCTTGTCCTGAAGAGGAGGCTTTCACCCCACACTAACTCAGCGATCATCTTCACAACTGTACCTGCTCCCTAAACACCACTGTCTTTTACAATGGCTTTATCTGAAAATTCCCTCCACCACTCAGTATTTGCAACTGTCTTGGCCACTTCAAAGGGAACCTTTTAAAACCCAATTTTAACTAAGTTTTTGGTCACTAGCCTTAATTTGTCCTTTCCAGCTATGCCAATTTCTGTGAAGTGATTTGGGATTTTTTGTAGTGAAGGTTCTGCATGAATTCAAAATAATCATCTGATACTCACCACAGTAAGATCTCTTCGTGGAGGTGGCCTCTGTCTTGCGTTTGGTAACTCTGTATTGTTTAACAGAAAATCAATTAACTTTGTTGTATAGATAGCCAAGACACCTTTTCATCATCAACGTAACAAACAGGTGATGAGGCACACCATCTTTCTTCAGATAATGCAAGTAAAATTTGATCTTTGGCAAACTTTCATTCCAAAAACCAGTTAAAATGGAACAATGAACCTTTAGCTTTTAGCCTTTATATGTGGCTCAAGTGAATCTGAAAAGTTCCAAAAGAAAATTGAAAAAGCACCTGAGGACAGCCAATAATAGCCTCCTGGAATGACTGCAGCAATTGGTCAAAAGTGAAAACAAACACTTTGGATACTCAGATCCTTAAGAGTTCCTGTGCAATTGCAAAGCAACTCGTATGACTGGCCCCTTGTAACTTCTGAGCACACTGAAGTCATTACTGTACTGGGGAATGTCAAATCATCAAAGTAATGCTAAATTGCTAAGGTATCCAGGGAGTCTCAGGGAAGTTAACACTTATTTTGGGATCTTTTTGAAGTATAAAGTAAAAGGGGCATTCCAACCACGTAATATTTCAGTTTTATAGCCACAAAACTGATTAGAAAAATTTGGAACACAACACAAATTATTAATGTCAATCGTTTCCGCAGGCTTCACCTCCACACAACACCCTGTTCAATTTTCACCTGTTCTAAAAGTGCTGAGTTATCCATAAGAAATTTGATTTACCTTTTCAAAGAGCAACTAATGCTCTCTCAGCGGAATAGATTCATTTTTTCCTATTCAAATCTTTAATTACACTCTTTCTATATCATCCCTTCTTGACCATTAGCAATCTCTTTGTCATAGTCATAGAGATATACACAGCATGAAAACAGACTCATCCATGCCTTCTGATGAAGGGTCTAGGCCCGAAACGTCAGCCTTGCTGCTCCTATGATGCTGCTTGGCCTGCTGTGTTCATCCAGCTCTACACCTTGTTGTCTCTCATCCATGCCAACCAGATATCCAAATAAATCTAGTCTCATTTGCCAGCATTTGACCCATGTCCCTTTAAACCCTTTCTATTTATAAACCCATCCAGAAGCCTTTTAAATTTTGTGATTGTACCAGCCTCTTCCACTTCCTCTGGCAGCTTATTCCATACACACACCACCCTCTGTGTAAAAAAGTTGCCCCTTAGGTCCCTTTTAAATCTTTCCCCTCTCACCTTAAAGCTATGCCCTCTAGTTTTGGACTCCCCTACCCTGGGGAAAGGACCTTGTCTATTCACCCTACCCATGATCTTCATGATTTTATAAACCTCTACAAGGTCACCCTTCAGTTTCTGATGCTCCAGGGAAAATAGCCCCAGTCTGTTCAGCCTCTCCCTATAGCTCAAACCCTCCAACCCTGGCAATATCCTTGTAAATCTTTGAGTTGTGAAGCTCCAACAGTTTAAGGCTTAATTAATAATACTTCAAACATGACAATTTGTTCCTTGATCCTAGCATGGGTAGTCATCAGCTAGAGTGGTGTAGATATATTCAATTGACTTCTGTACTGGAGGAAACCATGGCCAGGGATTCTGTTCTGGATTACTATGTAATTCTGCATGCTGATAGAACCACGGAGACATAGAGAAAATAGAACAAGGGAGAAAAACAAAGCAACTTGTCTCTAAATGCAAAAATAAAACAAAGAACTATGGATACTGGAACTCAAAAACAAACACAGTAGTTGCTGGAGAAACTCAGCATCAGTAGTCAGAAAGCAGACCCTACATTTCAGGTTCAGTGACCCTTCTTCAGTTAAGTCTGGTTTCTCTCCACAGATCCTGCTAGACCCGCTAAGTTTCTCCAGCAATCTGTTCTTGTCATCCTAAACACCATTAGCTGTAATATTCAAGCATATCTTTGGTCCACAGCCAGAAGAAGCACTCAAGGTAGAGTTCAAACAACATTTTCATACATTTCAAGCAAGTGGGACCTTGGTAACCTGCTTTAGAATTTATTCACTGCTAATGAAGTAGCAGGACCAAACCTCCAAGGTTTCAAACATAAACTCAAGGCTACAGTTGGATATCCCACAAGAGAACTCAGATTTTGAAAAGGCAGAAAAATGTCTTTGGCTTGGAGCACCCTTACAATCTGTTCCTCTTGCCGTCTGTCTACAGCATAAAAAAAACTAATTTCCAACCCCAGACACTTCGGAAGTGTTATATCGGGCTCAAATGTTAACTCTGTTTTTCTCTCTTTACCAATGCTGCTGGATCTGCTCAGTTTCTCCCCTTGTCTTCTGTTCTGTCACGAGCAATGCTTTGAAATGGAATCACTAAAGTGAGAAACCTGTGTCTCCAGTAAGTGACCGTCATCTGTATCTTGTCATGCTTAATGAAAATATTCTCAGTGGCTGTATAGTGCCAAACACATACTTACTGCCTTTCACATCAGCACCTGCTGCCCCACGGATCTCATTTTTTTCATCTTTTTGGTCAAACAACGATGCCTTTTCTCTGGTCTCTTTAGCTGAGGCTGGCTGTTTTCCAAGCCCATCAAGGTCCATTGCACTTGAATGGACAGATTGCCCTGAAGTAATTTTCTGACCTGAGAGATCACTGGTGGCTTTTTTCAGGTATGAGGCAGGGGCCCAGCCCTCCTGATTTTTGTATCTGTTCAAGAAAAATAATGTTTTCTGAGATTAAACACAAAATTCCCTTCAGCCCTTCTTTATTAGCAAACTGATGAGATTCAATGAATATTATAGAGTAGCAAAAACTAACAAAAATGTATGTGTTTTCATAATGAGTAAAAGGTCAATTTTTAGTAATCTATTATTAATTCTAACGCTGCTGAATTCAGAATATACTAAAAAAGATACAATTTTCCTGCATAATCATTGACAACAGCATAAGTTGTTTTTAGGTATTTTTAATCAATCTGTCCTGATATGTTATGGAATATCTCTGGAGCAGATGAGACTGGAACCCCTACCTCTGTACCCCAGCAATCCTACCTAGTTGCTTTTCTTACTGGCCTTAGAGAATTGCTTGTGATGTGATTGCCAGCATGAGTCCTACTCGTCCAATAGCAATACTGATCTTAAGAAATTCATTTGCATCATTTACTGGGAATATCTGAGTTTCTACTAGGTCATTCAGGCAGACAATCTTCAGAGTAACACTGGGATTGCTGCTGGGTGCAGGGAGTAGAAGCATCCTTTTCAGAACAATGGGGAGTTGCCAGCCTAGTGGTATTATCATTGGACTGTTAATCTAGAGAGCCAAGGTAATGTTGTGGAGACCCTGGGATTCGAATCCCACCACAGTGGATGAGTGGAATTTGAATTCAATAAAAATATGGAATTAAGAGACTAATGATGACCATGAATCCATTGGCGTGTGTGTGTATGTGCACGCATTGTGGGAGAAGGGAGAAATCCTCTGGTTCATGAATGTCCTTTAGGGAAAGAGACTGGCATCCTTATCTGGTTTGATCTACATGTGACTCCACACCCACAGCAATGTGAGTGACTTTTAACTACCTTCTGGGATGGACAATATATTGCTGGGCCAGCAGCACTGGGATTTTATTCAAAAGGTGACAATTTCACTGAGGAATCCTTTTATAGGTATTAGATCTCAGATTTTGTTTCTAATAGGGTGATAATAGATGTTAATCCTTTCTCAACTGGTCAAAATGATATTACATAACACAGCTCAACAAATTAATTATATCCTGTAAAATAGTGAAGGACAGTTCATTGACAAAAAAGGAAATCATCAAGATCTGGTAGGTCTAAGGTCAAATGCATTCAATTATGTCACAATTCCTGACTTTCTGTGACACTATCTGCTAGAAACTACCAGTGTCATAGGAAGACATTAACAAAATGATCACAAAACATTGATGTATTTTAAGAATTTATTTTTTGTAAAGTAACCTCTACATTTTGCCTCTGATAAGTTCTACCCATTTTTTGGGAGTTGGGAACAGTTTGGAATCCTATCTGTACTGCCCACAAGAAATTATCATACCTCCCATCAGGATATTTGCCAGAAAGTTATAGAAAGGCAATTCCAGCCAATGCCCTCCCTTTCTTCAGTGAAATTCAGAAGAAATAACTTCAAAATTAATTTGTTAAAGACTGAAGCCACAAAATATGGGTGCATAGTGCTGGCTATTCTGGGCGTTACTATGCTATTTTGCATCTGAAACACAGTTTGTGCATGCGTTATTTTGGTGAGGGAGTGTCCTCGCATGCAGGGAGTGTGGGCAAGGTTTATGTGGTTGTGACGTCAATCATTGTGTAAAGCTGATCTGATGCCAACATTGCTATTTTGGATCTTCACTCCCATTCCAGGCCAATATCCTTTCAACCTGGCACAGCTGTACATGTGTTCGGCAACATGAAGTTTCCCCTAGCCAATGCTATTTGTAAGCAGTATCTACTGTTGACAGGTTATTTGCAGATTGATTTCTACTCGCTCAATTACAATTGTCAAATGTTTTTGATGGTTTCAGGAGTTGTTTAAGGCTGCTCATATCAAGACTGAATAGTTTGAAAAAAACACCAAAGGAGTGTGGACCACTGGCAAGCTACCTACTTGAACCGCTTAAGGTGTAGGAATACCCATTGTGCTATTACAAAGGGAGTTCTGGAGTTTTGACCCAGCAGCAATGAACAGAGAAGTAGTTCCAAGTCCTGGAGTACTGTGACAATTCTGGTCCCTTGAGGAAGGACATAGTTGTATTGAAGAGGAAGTTCACTAGATTGATTGCAGAGGTAAGGGACTTGTCTTATGAAGAGAGATTTCAGCAGTTTAGGCCTATACTTCCTGAAGTTTAGAAGAATGAGAGCAGATCCTGTATACCTCAATTAGATGCTGAAGAGGATTGACAAACCAGAAGTAGAGAGGATGTTTCCTCTTGTTGGGCAATCTAGAATGAGGGGTCATAGTTTTAGGACAAGGGGTAGGAGATTTAAAACAGAGGTAAAGAGAAATTACGTCTCTCAAAGAGCTATGAATCTTTGGAATTTACAATCCCAGAGTGCAGTGGATGCTGGGAGATTGAAGTGAAAGACAAATTTTTAATTAGTAATGAGGCTGAAGGGTTATGGAGAACGGGCAGAAAAATGTAGTTAAGGCTGAGATGTGACCAGCCATGATTGTACAAACAGCGGCTCCTACTCCCAGTTTGTATGTTAAGTTAAGATGGAGGGAAGCTTGGCAGGGTGCTTGCAGGTGGCGGTGCTCTCACAGATATCCTGTATTCATAGGTAGTAGAGGTCACCAATTTCAAGCGTGTTGTTAAAAGAGCTTTGGAATGTTGCTGCATTTTATCTTGTAGATGGTACACACCACTGCCTCTGAGTGCTGGTGCGTGTGGTGCGAATGAAGCAGGCCGCTTTTCTTGTGAATGGTGTCAGGCTTCTTGAGTGTTATTGGAGCTGCAACCAGTCGGGCAAGTGGTGTGTGTTCCATTATATTCCTGTCTTGTGCCTTGTAAGTAGAGGACAGGCTCTGAAGAGACAGAAGCTAAGTTTTCTGCTGCAGAATTCCTAAACTCTGACTACCTCTTGTGATCACAGTACTTATTTGGATGACCTCTTCAGTTTCTGAGAAACAGCAATCACAGGATTTTGATAGTGGGTAATACAATGATGATAATGCCACTGAATTTCAAGGGACAATGGTTAGATTCTCACTTGTTAGAGATGGTCATAGCCCAGCACTTATTTACACAGCACAGTTATTTACAAATTTTCAGCATGAGAGTGGATTTTGTTCAGGTCTTGGACATGGACTGCTTCAAGTGTCCGAGGTGTCTGGAATGGTGCTGAACATCGTGCAATCATCAGAAGACATCTCCCTTCTGACCTGATAATGGAGGGTAGGTCATTAATGAAGCAACTGAAGGTCACTGGGGCTAGGACAATACCCGGAGGAACTCCTGCAGAGATCTCCTGGAGATGAGATGACTGACCTCCGACAACTACAGCCACCTTCCTTTGCATCAGCTAAGACTCTGACTAGCCAAGAGATCCCTCCATCCCCAGTTGCCACTGACTCCACTTTTGCTAAGGTCGTGGATGTCATAATTGGTTGAATATTGTCCAAGGGCAGCAAGGATATGTAAGGATTCTGCACAAGCCACTTTCTCCCATCGATCAGGGCAGTATTTTGCAAGCCCTTGCATGAGGCACAACAGGGAAAGTAACCTTGACAGTGAGCTGTAGGAATAAGGGGGAAGAGAAGAGGGAGCAGGACTCTCCGGTGCAGTAGTGATTTTCCTCCCTAAACCTCAGTAAGGAACATGGGGTTGGATATCTCCCATTTACTAAAGATGTCAATATTGAAATCAGTAACCTAGTCCAGCCACAATTGGAACCTCAGTGGGATGAGACTGCATGGTTGTGCAGTTGTGAAGGTGATCATGACCATGAACTCTCCTGTGTCTAGCTCCTGTGAAGGGTCTAGGCCCGAAACGTCAGTCTTTCTGCTCCTATGATGCTGCTTGGCCTGCTGTGTTCATCCAGCTCTGCACCTTGTTGTCTCGGATTCTCCAGTATCTGCAGTTCCTACTATCTCTGACTCAATATTTGCTTGCAACAGTTGCCTGCTGATTAACCAGCTGAAGAGGAGAAAGATATAGGAAGTGAACAGGCAACTGATATACCACCTTTTTGGCTGTAGAATCTGTGAACAATTCACTTGAAGAATGCAATTCCAATTCCTCATTCACTAACAGCAACATTTGATCTATTTTTGTAGTCTTTCAAAGATTGTTGGTATTATTGCCCACCCCATAATAACTGCCCATTACTAATTCCCCTGAAGAAGGTGCAGTTCATGTGATGTAGGTATATTCACATTGATGTCAGGAAAGGCATTCCAGGATTTTTACCCAGTGATATTAACTATCACAGTATCCATTTGGACACAGGTTAGAACAAAAGCTACCAAACATAAACATTCTAAACCACTTTTATAAATGAAACATTGCAGAGGAACGTCAGTTAATCACCCTTGTGCATTTTCTTAGTGAGTGACATGTGTATGTGAGCCTTTGTTTACTCTAGTGAACCTACAGGGGCTGACTCCAGTAGCTACAGCATAGTTAGTGGAAAGTTGTTGGTTTCGACTGTGGGAGACTGTAGATGGTTTCAGCAGCTCTGGGTCTAAGAGGCCCAGCTCTAGACCACAACATCCCTGCTTGGGCAGCAATTGTTTAGGCTATTCAGCATTTTGTGGAGATTTTGAACTCATCGCCTACCTATTTGTTGCATATTGCTGTTCCTTATTTTAAGCAAATTAAACATCAGTGTTGTGAATTCACGAACTTTTTCAATCCATTTCAGGACCATTGATTCTCAAGTGAAGATTCAAAGATTCACATTTGTTATAAGATGAATTTTTATGACCATGTATTATTTTAAATTTTGTGCTCATGGGCAAAGGTGGCAGGAGAACAACTGCAATCTCACATTTCTGATGTAACTGTTCACATATGTTAGTATGGGAGAACATTGATCAAAACACGATTACAATTTATTCTTGACAGGAGTACAGGTGGCGCTATTGGATAGCTTTCTCCTTTCTCTCTAGTCCAAATTGTTTTGTTATTTTCGTCAATAAGATCACCATATACGGGTTACATCAGTGTAATTCAAAAACAGTATGACATTTAACCTCAGTTTCCTTTTGGCCGTCACTTTTACTGTTACTTCAAGTATTTTTTGAACATTTGGGGGTGGATGTGTGGGCTGAGAAAATACCACTTCTGGGAAGGCAGGAGAACATTCCCAGAGGATAGTTATGTGCATAGAGAAGTCCAGAAGGAGAAGCCTGGTCAGGAGAGTGGGAAAGCACAGAAGATTTTGTTGTGAAGCAGCATGGTCCTTTTAAGATTACCATGCACATGCCTACGTTAAATGGAACCCTTCTGTATATGGCCTGTACATCCTCTGTACAATGCATTCCTGCCTGGTACACACCTGCACAGCTTAGAGTAAATACTACATAGAGTCTTGCTTTGCTTGGATGAGGCACACATAAAATTACTGTTTTAGTCCCAGTGACTAAATGTAGAGATTCCAAGGTGGACCACATGTATACCTTGAATTTTTACATAGTTATGTGCACAAACTGAAAAATCCCTAATAATTGCAGGACCTCAAGCACACTTTACATCTGTTAGTCCTAACTGTGGTGACTCATCACCCACATGCTTCTTATTTGCTCAGTGCACAAGAATAAGCTCTATATTGGGAAAGGAGCAGGAAAAGGAAGTGGTACCATGGGACTAAACCACTTCAAGCAATAAAAAATTTAATAAGATGGTGGTGGTTGTGTGAAAAGCCTACGTCATGATTCCCTATATTTATCAAGTTGGACTTTAACCATTTAAGCACTTAGTTTTTTTTGTGCAGATTTAGTTTGCTGTTGGAGCCACTGTATTTATATGGCTGCTCAATTTTAGTTGCAAGTCAATGCTAAATCCAAGGATGTTGATGGGTGCTTGATTCAGTGATAGTAATGCTATTGGATGTCAACAGGTATTTGTTACATTCTCTTCTGTTGAAGAAGGTCATCGCCTAGTACTTGTGTGGCATGAACGTTACTTGCCACTTGTCAGCACAAGCCTAGGTATTGTCCAGGACTTGCTGCATTTGAATATGGACTCCAGTGAGTAACTCACTGCTTGTTTCCCAATTGCTTTTCACTATCTACAAGACAAGTCAGGAGCATGATGATATACTCCACATTTGCCTCAATGGCTGCAGCTCTAACATCACTCAAGAATCTCACCAAGCCTTCTTCTGAAAATTGCCTTCTAAATTCCTGATCTCAATCTCCTGGAAGGAGAAGGAGAACAAATAATTGGGAACAATACCATCTGCAGTTCCTCTCCAAACCACTCACTATCCTAATTTGGAACTATTTTGCTATTCATTCATTATTGTTGATCCAAATCCTGGAACTCCCTCCCTATTAGTATCATCACCTTAAGGACTGTAGTCGTTCAAAAGGTGGCTCAACACCAGCTTCTCCTGGGCACTTAGCCAGGAACAATAAATCCTGGCCTAGGCATCAACTCCAACATTCCATGAATGAATAAATTAATAAAACATTCATGCACAAGCCTGGCTGCAATGGAAAAATTCTTCATCACTGGTTCCAAGCCAAATCTCATGATTATTCGTAACAGAAAATTCTGGGATGCGGCCTGCAGCCTTCATAAAAAGATGACAATTTAGATTGTTTGCATCAAAGGAGAGCTTTTATTGCCCCTGGATTTCTGAAAAGAGGCAGTCATAAAATTTGAGCATTTGGTGAAGAATCCTAGTTGTAACAGGGAAGCCTGCTTCACATTAATGTAGATTGTCTACCATGTGGTAGAGTTCAAAGTCACTTGGGGACATCTGACAGCAGGCTGTCTGCAGGTACAACCCCATCAGTAATTTCACTTTGATAAATGAGGCATCTCTTAGGAAAGATGTAAAGCTTTCTCCAAGCACCTCAATTAATGTTAAGTGCAAGAATTACGGACACAAGCTTTTGGAGAGAATGAAGTGGAATACATGTGAAGGAAAAGAGGAGTATTTGCTTCAGGTCATGAGGGGTTTTTATTGTTATATACCATGTTATCACACAGGTATATATAGAACTGTTCAAGTCAGCTCCCATTAAAAGTTAAATGCTCAGCTTATGCCTTGGAATAACTAACATCATTATGCCCAAGGTGATATCTGTGGCACACCTCAATTTGCAAAAGTTGTCTTTGGTTCTAACTAGGTCTAATATTCTTTTGGTGCACCTCCATTAGCAGTTCTTGTCTCTATAATATTAACACGACCACTGTTCCCCATATACCTCTGCTGTGATTTTGTAAGCAATTAATGCACCACTCTGCATCCCTCCGTGCTGCACATTAAAGCAAAGCTAGAGGCCTGTAAAAGCTGACACTTCTTTTAAATTTTTTTCCCCCATCATCTGGCAATTTCATGTTTTGGAAAGGTTTTTCAAATGGTAACACGAGTTTTGACTTGACAGAAGGTTCTCCTACAGCAGGGTTAACCAAAATTGGGCTTTAAAAAAAAATGACATTTGAGGAAATCAATTCAATTTATCCAAAGATACTGAAGTAAGGATAAGTCAATGCAATGACATCCTATGCTACAAATTTCCCTCATGCCAGTAAGAGCTTGATTAGGACATGTGAATTACCTGATTTTCCACCAGCCTTCCAGGTTTTTCTGTATAACCTCCACCACAGCACCTCTCTCCAAATCAATTTCATCATTATCTCTTGCTGAGTAGGGATAAACAACAACAAAATTCTCCTCTGGAAAAACAAATGTATATTCCATTTACAACCACGTCATGCCATAAATTAGCATTTATGGAGCTTGGCAAAAATGATTAATAATGATGCTTGAAGCTATGTAAAATTAGTTTGCACAAAAAGCTCAATACGTGGGATCGATAACCACATCAAAACAGAATTTTACAGTGTTCCAATCAAATGTGTTTGTATTGATTCAGCATAATTTAAAATAAAAGTTAACACTTCATGCTGAGGCAAGGGGCAGGACAGAAGAAAGGGAAGGTTGTGTAGGAGAAACCAAATGGTCAGGATGACAAGTATGTTCTGACTACAGGAAATATGAACACCATACAAGTTTTTAATTGTATTTCCTCTATCCAGATGTTGTGGTAAATTTTGTCAAAGACATTAATAATCATTGTGCTCCAGTCCCCTCATAAGAATTTGTTAAGGAAAGCAATTTTTGGAAATACTTGTAAAGGAAGTATTGTCAGCATTTCACATTTGCCAGCGTACTCAGGGATTTTTGGCAACAATGGAGAAACAGACTACTGCCATTGTAAGATGCAACCTTGAACTGAAGTTTTACTGGCTTAATTCTGAACTTATTCAGTGCAGTTACTGAATCCAACCTTGTGAACATTTATACTGGTTAGGATTCAGAGATCATGTCATATGAATGACAATATTTACTTTACACTTCAAGGGTAATAAATGTTCATTAAATGTAAGTGGCACTTACAGTATTCATGTGTACAAAATTCTATTTTTGCTTTCTCCTGTGTAAAAGCATCTATGCAAGTAATTATGTCTAGACTTTGGCACTGCATCAGTGCGCCTGGAACTAGAGAGGGCTATGACAATAAAGATTGTAAGCATGCAACATTGATAACATCAGGCTAGGACAAAACTGTGGACTAAAGGTGGCAACAAATAACTTACAAGCTCAAAATTATTTGCAGCGTAGCTAGCTGGTGAATTTTAATGTAAATAAACTCAAGGCTTTTTATATTTTGGGATTAAAAATTAGAACCATATATATTGTTAGTGGAACAGGATTTATGAGGGATTAGGGGAGTGGGGGCATCCAAAAGAGGTAACCAGCATAAGTGTAGTCCAGTTGAATTAAAAATAATAAAACCTGCTGAGTTAATAGGTTACACCAGTTGAGTTTGTATTTCTCAATCTTCCTGAACCTCATTATCCAAATGTGAGAACATGCACAGGAGAATGAGGTGGTTTATCCCAGAGAAGGACTGAGGAACAAACCAACAACTGTGGAGTGCCAAAGAGATGTTGCAGTGAACACATGGGCAAATACGATAGTGGATGGAGTTAGGAATACAAGCCTGAAACAGTTTTTGTTTTAATCGTACGTTAATTCAGCAGAACAAAAAATACAAAATCAGCATTATGAATAGCAAATTTAGGAAAGAAACTTGGCAGATAGTGACAAACAGCTGGGTCAGGATGTCATGAACATCAGTGAAGGCCAAATTGATTAATTCAAGCAATGATTTTAAAAATGGTAGGTTTGATATTCTGGATAAGTTAGATCTAACATAAGTGAGGGTATTCTTCACCTGAATTTACAAGTTTGTGAGAGCATATGTACAAGATAGTGCACGGGACTTGATTCATTTATACATATTAGAAACCTACAAAATGGCTTTCCTCTATAAGTAGCTCAAATACATCTTACTGACTGGAGGTATTATGATACTGTTAGGCTTACGGTATAGCTAATTGTCTTATGGAAAAGCAATACTTCAAACCAAATTGCACAGTTGAAGCCATAGGATAACGGAGTAGAGGCCTGATATAAGAGAAGTAGGGATTCCAATGCTAATATAGAAATAAAATTACATTAGGAGAGCAAATTCTGTCAAGCATGTCCATGCAAAACATGTAAGCAAGACACATATACAGCACATAAATACAGGAAGCACCAACAAACACAGACTACAGTAACAGCAAGCTCGTCTCCATCCACCTTGGCCCCAGACACTGATGTACAAATCTCCTAAAGTCCGTCGATGGCCCATATGTCTTGGCAGAGACCAGAATGTCTTAGTAACTGATAGCATGTTGAGATAGGAAGTGATCACAGAGTACAAAGTGGTCATTAAGGATTCATAAAGTCACTGTGATGAAACTGTTGTTCTTAAAGTTATTATAATGGGTGGTCAAAACAATTTACCATCAATTAACAACCATTCTTGCAAGATGAATAGGAAATACCTGGTAAATCTTAAATCACATTGTTTTAATCACTAATGAATCTCTGCTATGGATATATATTAAAATTGTACATATTTGAAAATATAATAAAATGACAAACTAAATGGTGACAGAAGACATCTGAATATACAGTAGCCAAGACAATTAAAACAATACCCATTGTTACATCTGTCAAGCATTAAGATATAAAAAAGTTACGTTTTTTAAAAAAAGGGAGTTAAGTATTTCTAGTAGAAAATAACCAATTATCAAGTCTCTGGGAAAACTGATAAAACTAAGAAGCAATATATCAGGCAGGAGTTGAAAGGAATGTGTGGTTTTGAAGTGACTATGCTTAATTCCAGTACTTTAACCACAGATCATTTCACAAGATACTAACTGAAAGCACCATCATTGATACAGAACTCAAGTTGCAGCGTGATATATTTTGCATGACATTATCCATAAATGTGAAATAGGAATTCAGAATGGACATAAAAATAAAGGCAGAATATGCAGATGTAAAATTAAGATTCAATTATATCTAGACACACTAGTCCAATTATTCCCTATCCACTAACCCTACTGTACCTGAAGACCATACTTGGACTTCTCATGATCGTGCAATCACCAAGAAAATAACTAAAAATCTATTCAAACAGAAAAGGATGCAAGACAAATTCTCCTATTTACACTGCAGGAATCAAGTACAGATGCATGATTCTTAATTTCTCGTTCAGGTACAATAAGACCTCTTCTGTTTTGCATTGTTTCTCATCAAATCGCAAACTTTCTGGCCCATTGACAATCAGCCCAAGGCTCAGTGTCTCAATTCATAAAATTATACACCATACCCATTTTTAAAACTGCGAAAACTGTGTAATTTGTGATTGACTTGCAAATGTGCTTCAATCCATCAGTACTTATTCACAAGGAGTTGAATGGTCAGTCTGCCACCTAAAACCCTACTCTGAATTTAGCTACATTCTATTCCAGCACCCAAGGGGGAGAATTAATAGCAATGAAATAAATTAACTTGTCTATGGTCTTTCATGAGCTCTGGGCATCACTTAATAATTCCCCAACCTTTTGAAATTTTGTCACTGTTGTATTATGGGAAGTGCAGCAACTGATTTTTACACGATAAAGTCACAAGCAGAAATGAAATCACTGACAAGATAATCTTTTTATCCAGTACGTAAGTTGAGGGGTAAATGTTGAGTGGAGTTGACGTCATGTTTGTCTGATTTACTGACTGACATCAGTATGGTCACTAACTTAATGTTGGTATCATAGATTCACAGAAACCCTACAGTGGGGAAGCAGGCCATTCGGCTCATCAAGTCCACACTGACCCCTCTGAAGAGAACCCCACCAGGCACACCCCTTACCCCATTTCTGTAACCCTGCATTTCTCATGGATAATCCACCTAGCCTACACAAAATGGGCAATTTAGCATGGCCAATCCACCTAACCTGCACATCTTTGGACATTGGCAGGAAACCAGAGCACGCAGAGGAAACCCCTGCAGACACAGCAAGAATGTGCAAACTCCACACAGACAGTCACCCAAGGGTGGAATCAAACCTGGGTCCCTGGCACTGCGAGGCAGTAATGCTAACCACTGAGCCACCGTGCCACCCACATTGCAGTCACACAGCATGGAAAGAGACTCTTTGGTCCAACCAGTCCATGTTGAACATAATCCAAAAACAGACTTGTCCCACCTGCCTGCTCCTGGCCCGTATCCGTCCAAACCTTTCCTATTCGTATACTTATCCAAATGTCTTTTAAACGGTGTAATTGTGGCCACATCCACTTTCTCAGGAAGTTCATTCCACAAATGAACCACCCTCTGAGTAAAAAATTTGCCCCTCGTGTCTTTTTTAAATCTCTTCATTAAATTCAAACTTCAGTGAAACCAAAACGCTACTCTAATGCCAATCTCAAATTTCCAAGTACTCAAGATAAACTATTTAAAATTGACAGAAGCTCTTTCTAAAAAAAAACCGCTGTTTGATTTCAAAATGTTTTAGAGCACTCATGTACAGAAGACTGCTGCATTTTTGGCAACAACAGTTTTTTTGTCTTCAGCAAAAAGGATATGCTCATACACAATGACTTCATAATATTTGTGCTTTCAAAATAACCAATATATTTGTTCAATTACAAAAGACAGCTAAAGATAAACCTTTTAAGTTGTAACACAACAAGTATTATCTGACTAAAACTCATTGTTATTTTTGGCTGCTTACCTTCTCCTGGCTTGGCACTAACAACTGAAAGGTCATCTTGAGCTCCGTCCTGGGCCTCCAGACACGTGGCAGGGACCCAACCCTGCTCATCAGCTGTGCTCACGAACCACCAGCCTGAAAGCACAAAAACGTCATTTCACCAAAAACATCAATTTCTTTCATGTACACTAAATGTATTTGATATTGTACTGTTACAGCTGTAAAACCTCTCCAGCACATGATTTCCTTCGTGCCTTAGTATCCAGTGCTACTTCAATGGCTCATTACTTTGCACTCATCAGCTTCCTGTCTCCATGCTTGTTTGTTTGGCTGCTTGGAATGATCTAGACCCAAAAATATTCCCATTGCCATAATCAATATCTCTCATCCATGGGTTTGGGAAGTGGCCGTTTGAGTGGAGGCACTTTGGAGGTGGTTATTTTTTTCTCCCCCTCTAAGTGCTGCATCCAAGAAACAGCTACTCACTATAAAGACTAAAATTTGCTGCAGGTAAGAGCATCTGGCTCAAGATGCACGTTTTTGATGATGAGCACATTACTTGCCCACTCAATCTACTGGCCTGGAAATTGGATCACACCTGAAAATGCATGTACTAAGGTGTGGAGTGTGCAAGGTTTGTGCCAAGTTCCTATTAATGCAGGCAGTGTGATATCCTATCACTTAATTACTGAAGCCAGGTTAAATTACATTGTGAATAAATGGTCTTTGGCAAATGATAACCTCGAGGAAAAAGACCTAAAAAGGCAAAATTAAACCTGGAAAACAGGGAAGAAATCATGATTATTATCTTGTATTACATTTCACAGATACACATTAAAAATTATACTCTACAACAGTGAGACAACTTGGTAGCCAAGTTACATTTATTTAATGATTATTATAAACCACAATTCATCAGCATAACTTAGTCAGAATTATAATGGAACAGAGCTATAGCATGAACTAATGAAGATGGAACATTGCCAACAGTCTAGACTTATTTCCTTACTATCCAGGTTGCCTTGAATCCATTCCATGTTTGTGTCAGTGCTTTTTCACTGTGGACTGACCCATATTATTTCCTTCTGTTTGCAAAGTGTTATAGCTTTACAGCCTGCATTTCCATCCATCTTTATATGGCAATGTAGCACCACAGCCTCTCCATAATCAAAGAATATATAACTGTCATCATAAATTCAGATAATAAATAAATATTTCCTTTTTTTTTGTAACTGAAACATACAGATGAAACTAATGGACAAGAGAGGCCCATATTTGATCATATTATGGCATATTGTATATCAACCATCAAATCTCATAGTCAAAAATCACACATCACCAGGTTATAGTCCAACAGGTTTACTTGAAATCACAAGCTTTCAGAGTACAGCCCCCTCATCAGGTGCTGTGACAGGAGAGCACACTGATACAGAGTTTATAGGCTGAGAGATGAAGGCTAGAAAGATCAAAGAATCATACAACTAGTGTGAACAAACCTGAAATGGCTGACTGACTGCTTCCTGTTGAATGTTCAATCATTCATATGTTCCTGCATTCTAGAAATTGCAGAAGCAGGGTATGGAGAACTCTGTTAGAAAGGAGATGCAAGTTTCGATTGATTAAGACGCAAATTCCAGAATCTGTTTGAAGTCCCTGCCCGGAGATAATTAAAGATTTCATCAGTGCCTGCCTAAATTTCCAAACTTCAAACTGACAGAGCAATAGGAATACACAAATGTGACATCTCAGATCAGACACTGAATTGTAGGTGTGAGGCCTTGTCCAGAATCTGTCTCTGAGTTTTAACCTGGAATCAGGCTGGTTTTATTCCGAAAGCAGGAATTCATAAAATGCCACACTGACTGTGACTACAAATTGTGCGTTTCTTTAACAAAATAGAATGTATCTGCAAATAATGGATGTAATAATTCACCTCACAGGTTTATATGTGCGTGCATGTATGTGTATATATGGCAGATACTCATGTGACTCGGCCAATGTTGTCTATTTCATATGCTGCAGGCAAGGATGCCCCAAGGCATGGTATATCAATGACATCATGCTGAGGCTACGACAATGGATGAATGGACACTGCGCAACAATCGCCAGACAGAGATGATCCCCCCAGTCAGGGAACACTTTAGCAATCAAGGGCATTCAGCCTCCAATCTTCGGGTAAGCATCCTTCAAGGCGGACTTCGAAATACACAACAACGCAGATTTGGCGAGCAGAGACTGATAGCCAAGTCCGGTATCCATGAAGATGGCCTCAACCATGATCTTGCATTCATGTCGCGCGACAGGTGACCCCACCATACTATTCTGTGTCTGTAAAATCATCCTTACAGTCCTGTTATGACAGCATCATATTGATAAAGTGTTATGATCTCTCTACTTAATTTGTACAGTTTTGAATTACTTATTACACACTCTGTCTCTCTCTCTCTCACACACACACACACACACTCTCTCTCTCACACTCACTCTCACACATACACACATATACACTCGCTCTCTCTCTCACTCTCTCAAACTCTCAAACACACACATGCAAGTGCACATATAAATCTATGGGGTGAATCATTGCATCCAAGATGTTTGTTTATTTGCAAATACATTCTATTTTGTTCAAAAAAAATACAATTTGTAGTCACAGTCAGTCAGTGTGGCATTTTATAAATTCCTGCTTTCGGAATAAAACCAGCCTGATTCCAGGTTAGAACCGTGAGACAGATAATGGACAAGGCCTTACACCTACAATTCAGTCTCTGACCTGAGATGTCACCTTTCGTATCTCTGCCTGATTGAATTTGGAAAGTTAGGCAGACACTAATAAAACCTTTAATTGTATCAGGATAGTGACTTCAGACAAATTCTGGAATTTGAATCTCAATCAATCGAAACTTGCATCTGCTTTCTAACAGAGTTCTCCAAACCCTGCTTCTGCAATTACTAGAATGCAGGAATCTATGAATGGTTAAAGATTCAACAGGTGGCAGTCAATCAATCGGCCATTTTAGGTTTGTTCACTCACTCACACCAGTTGTATGATCCTTTGATCTCTCTGCTTATTAACTTTGTGTCTCTCTGCTCTCCTGTCACTGCACCTGATGAAGGGTCTGCGCTCCGAAAGCTTGTGATTTCAAATAAATGTGTTGGACCATAATCTGGTGTCGTGTGATTTTTGACTTTGTCCACCCTAGTCCAACACAAGCACGTCCACATCATCAAATCTCACGGCAATCTCTAATTTTTTTTGGACCTGAGAAATAACACACTATTCATATAATTTTTGAAACGTTTTTTACAAGCACAATTTTATCACAACAAATACAAAACAACTTTCTTTTTTAAAACAAAAGTTACCACATAAATTTTAGCAAAGTAAGAAATACTTGTGATGCAACATACTGCTGACTTCCTGTTGCAGCTCCCCAAATCATCAGTTCAAAATGTCAGCAAGACAGGAAAATACTGGCAGGCAGTTTGCCTCAAGTCACTCTCATGCATGCGTACTTAATCATAGAGTAGTCAGATCCTGCTTAACTGCTGAATAAATTACAGATGAATATATGCAAATAATGGAGAAGGAGAAAAGGAAAAAGAGAAAACTAATTCAAAAATCTCAAGCTGTTACAGAAGCATAATATAAAAATGTTAAAAAGCAAAAAATATCACCTATTCTCAATCCATCAGACTTTGTTTTTTCCAAGACTAATACTGAAAAGAAATTTGGGACAGTGAATTGCTTGGCAAGAGCTGTGAAGCATTACAGCAACAATTTACATCTACATACTTCTTTTAATGTGATAATATTCCGAGGTGTTTCTGGGTTGGATCTTCAGACAAAAGTGGGTGCTGATCTGGAGGAGATATTAAATGTGTGCTTAAAGCTGACGCAAAGAGGTGCTTTTCAAATAGGCCAAAAGAGAGCAAACTGCCAGGAGTTTTTGGGAAGGAAATCTAGAACCAGAGGTAGCTACAAAGATGGAGCAGAATGAGACAATGAAATGATCTAAACATGACAAACTTCCTACAGTGGAAAAAGGGGTCTTATGCATTCAATATGATTAAGAAACAGGTATTAATGTGTCATCTCAACCCTGTGCTGTAATTTTTACAGTGATTTAGGGTTGGATTTTTAAGGAGTTAGGGAGAGGTCCGTGGATGTTTAAAATTGGCAAAAAGGACTCAATTCTAAGATTTCAGAGCCTTGAACTTTTGCTCAAGGTTATGGAGGCTGAAGGATGGGAGACCAGACAGGAGAGCCTTCGATCAAGTCCCCAGTCAAATTTTATGTTTTAAATCACAAATGCTGTCCTGTAGAAAACAATTTATTGATTACAATTTTGCGTCATTATTGAGTCTAAAAATCAGTTTGAAGAGCTGAAAACGAGGACAGTATTTGGTCGCGGTGCAAAATTCAGGGAACTGAGTAACTACAATGGCAGGATTTCAAATTTCTGACAGGCCGATTTCCATTTGTGAGGGAGATAGCCAGAGTCAGGAAATTTCTAACATGGTGCATGCAATTCAAGAAAGTGTGTGTGTGTGTGTGTGTGTGTGGGAGGGGTGTGTGTGTATAGGGGTGTGTGTGTGGGTGTGTGTGGGGTGTGTACGTGTGTGTGTGAGGCGGTGTGTGTAGGGATGTGTGTGTGTAAGGGTGAGTGTGGGTGGGTGTGTGTGTGTGTGTGGGTAGGGGTGTGTGTGTGGGTGGGGGCATGTGTGTGGGTGTGTGTGTAGGGGGTGGGTGTGTACGGGTATGTGTGTGTAGGGGTGCGTGGGTGGGTGATTGTCGGGTGTGTGTGTTGTTAGGGATGTGTGTGTAGGTAGGGGTGTGAATAGTGTGTGTGTGTAGCAGTGTATGTGTGTGTGTACGGTGCATGTGTAGGGTGTGTGTGTAGGGGGTGTGTATGTGTAGGTGGTGTGTGTGTAGGGGTGTGTGTAGGGGGGGCTTTTGTGTGTCGGTGTGTGTGCTTGTGTGTAGGGATTTGCGTGTGTATAGGGGTGTGTGTGTGTAGGGGTGTGTAGGTGTGTGTGTGTAGGGGGTGGGTGTGTGTGTGGGGGGTGTGAAGCAATGTGTGTGTGCGGGGGG